ATATAAATACGTTATAAGTAAAAACAAATTAATAAATTTAAAAGGTATAACATAATTGCGGTGATTGTATACTGAATAGAGTGATCAAAGAAAATTCACCCACAAATAGGCAAGGTTGAGGAAGTCTCTATCATTAATTAGACTTTTTAACACAAATATTAAAATTAAAGAAATTCTTTAATTAGTATTTTTCTCATTTAATAGGCTCGAATATGTTGTAAATTCAAATAAGTCTATCGATAATAAATTCAAAATACATATTGAATGGTCAACAAAAACAAATATTAAAAAGAAAATTGCAAAAACATGATTCTTTGAAGAGTAATTAAAAACTTACCTATTGTTAATTGTCTGATTACTAAACTTGAGAGTAACATAGATACTTGAAAGTCTTGAGCGTATTAACAACAGGAGGGGTATTAGAGTTCAGTTTGAAGTTCGGATTCCCAATTCTCAAATTATTAAAGTGATTGTTGGTTTTCTTATTCTCGTAATTACTTTCTAACATATATTCATTGTATATTTCTGATTGTTTATGTGAAATCATAAGTGAAGAAATACCACGACTGAGTTTGTATTATCCATGACGTAATTATAACTGTGATTTCGTAAAACGGGTAAAAGACAATTGTGGTTACAAACTGTAGTTTAGCTTTCATATTCATGTATTCTGATGAGTGCACACATTAGAGTGATCTTGTATCTGTCATTTGTTCGAGAGAAGAATGACAGTTCGGAAAAAGCTGAACTAACCTAATGAATTGGAGTTAAAGTTTCAATTCGAGAGAAAAGAACGTTAACATCAAACTGTTGTAAGTGAGGGTAAATGTTGGCAACACTCTAAGGCCGAGAGGAAGTGAGTGAGAATTGTCTAATTAGACTGAGAAGTGTCAGATAAAATTAATTCGCACATATTTTGCAAAGATGAATTGTCTAAAACTCAATTACGGAAGAACACTAGAACTAGTGGTTATGGGGAACACAATCCTAGTTTTATTTAATCAATTAAAACAACTTTATAACATAAGGTTCTGTTAGTCGTTAATCTGAAATTCTAATTCTAATCTTAGTGATTATAATATCAAAACCAAACCCAATTTACTTTTCGTCATTGTTTCTTCAGGAGATAATGATGACATTCAAGTAAACGCGACAGTGAAACCTTTTCTGTAAAAAAATTATCTATGAAATCGATCTCAACTCACGTTAAGTTCTGTAATGACTTCGATCGTTTACACCTCTTAATTAAGGTGTAAGTTTGGACATATCAAATATGTTTATGTCTATCTTTAAATATATTATTTTCTCTACACATGTGTTGCACATGAATATTAGGTTGTATAATATACAATTCAGAAATCCACTTTAAAAAATATCAAGAGGATTAGAAATTCCACAAGGAAAATCACTTAATATGACTTGCGCATACCCAAAAAAAATAGAGGACATATAGATATTAATTGCGACCAAAATATCTTGTGCATTGATATATTATGGCAAAAAAATAATTTACCAATTAGGTCACTTGTGTTGAGCTGTTATAATTACAAGTAAACTTCTACATATAGATCATAAAAAATTCTGATAAAATCTCATAGGAGTACTATTTTTCTTTCAAAGTTGACCAATCAAAATTTTATCATAAAACATTAAATAACCATAAAATACACTTGAAATTTTTAGTAATATTGACAATGTATTACATACACGTAGGGGTGACTCAATATGATATCTGTTCTATGGAACATAAGAAGCACTACATTCACACATGGAATTATAGCTTTTGTGATGCAAAATTATGAATAATTTTTTTTATGATCAATTTTAATTTTTTTAAAAAAAATTTCGTCAGAGAAAATTGTTATATAAACTCTATAAGTAATATATGCATTTGAAAAATAATAAAATCTTCGGATCTAATTGAAATATTTCTTACCTTTCTACTCCCTATGTCCCACATGTATGTTCATTAAGTAAAATAATAAATGTAGGGTATATAGTTTACTAAGTTATTTCTAATCATTCCTAAAATATTTTGTTTCATGTTAATGAAAGAGGTTATAGAAAAAAATCCCAAAAGAATTCAAATCTATTTTTTGTTGTAAAGAAAGCTCAGAATATAAGAAGAAAAAGACAAGTATAAGATAGAGGAGATAATTTTCTTATTCAAGTATGTATTACAAAAGGTGAATGATATCTCTATTTATAGAGTTGAGATATCACCCCAAAGGCCCCCATGATAAATGTCCAATTAGTAGGTACATAGTTATCCAAATGATTCTTATCATCTTGGGAACATGTATACATGAATACAATTAAGTCTTGAGTAAATCTAAAGGACAATCCACACAATTCAATGGATTTATAACATTTTTTATTTTCAAATGTTGTACTCCTTCTATTTTTAATATAATTGATATGTTTTTACTTTGAAGTCTCTCTATTTCTCTCAAGTTTATAATTAGTACATTTTCAACCAAGTGAGTTCTTAATGAATAATGAAAAGTGTTCGTTTTTATTCTTGTTTAAGAAATTTTGCACAGTTCCAAATCCTTTTTGAATTATTTACTAAATGATGTATTATACGATGTGACATACATACGTAAGACATACATACGTAACGTCTGTAAGAGATAATATTATATTTTTTAAAAATAAACCTAAAAGCACTATAAGTTAAAACAATTAATAATTTAAAATACTTAAAAAGTATAACGTAAAAAAAAAGACAGGACAAGTTGTGATGATGGCATGCAGGAGCCAAAAATTCACTCCAAAAATATGGTGCGGTTAATGAGATCTCTATGATTAATTAGACTTTTGAACCCAAATATATGTAAATGATGGAATTCTTATAATTACTATTTTCTCATTTAATATGCTCGTATGTGACCTAAATTTGTGAATGGTTCACAAACATATCAAAAAGAAAAATCTCAAAGAATTTTATAACCTAATCGACTCGAGCAATCAATCCTTTTGATACTCTTTAGACTTTCATGTCTCTTGTTTTCTCTCAAATTCAGGAAGTCTCATATTTGGTAAGTTTTTAATTACTTGAATGTTATATCCTTCAATTATTCAAATTTTTACATCCTTTTATTTTCTTTTTTGTTCTCCATATAACACAAATATAAAGGGATCTGAAATAAAAATCGTTTTTATTTTTTATTTTTCTCCCAAAAACAAAAAGAGAGAGATGAGTGTATGAGTTGTAGGAAATGAAAGAGAAGAAATGACCCTCTCAAGTGTTCATTTTCTTTTAGGTTATTTATTGGGGTACTTAATTAACAATTTGTAAGTAGCAAAGCTTATTTAATCACTTGGGGAAAATAATTTATCATGCCTATAGTTGCATAAATTGTTCCATAGTACTATCCTAGGTTGCTGTAACAATAGTATTGTTTTGATATAGTAATATGCTAGTTCGATGTCTATTTCATAGTATTTTGCTTTCTAGAGAAAAAAAAAATTCAAAGGCAAATCTAGATTATGTTTTTGCATGTGTGATTAAATAATATCGATTGATTAATCAAAAAGCTCATAGAGAATTAATCTTAAAAACTGAATCATTTGAAAGTGAGCCCAACAATTCTTTTTTCCCATTTACTAATATTACGGTCATCTCTCATTCTTCCACACAAAAAATTGAGAGGAAATTAAAAAATGTTACATACTATTCCAAAAAACGCACACTTTTATGATAGAAATCATAAGCACAGTACCAAAAACGTAACTCAAAAGTATATCACAATTCTTAAATAGGTTACAAAATTCAATAATTTTAAATAATAGAATTTTCAAATCAAATTTAGTTATTTCTAACAATTTGTATCAAATAATTTTTTAATTCACAATTTGATCGTACTCCACTTAATCACAAATTAAGAGGACTAACAATATCATTTGCAATCCTTAAATGCAAGAATGCATTTGCAACACCAAACACACATACAATCTTCATAAATTTCTCACTTACTATCTCAAACATGAATCAAATAATAAGATCAAAGAACTTTCACTAATCATAATAAGTTTTCTAATATAAAGGTCAAAGATATATAAATTTTTATGGCCTTTAGAAGATTAAAAAATAAGCACAAGTCATTCAAACAAATTATTTTAGTTTTAGAAGACAATGCCACCTCAAACCTCTTTGCAGCCAAAAAAATTGCTCCAAGTATCTTACCTCTTTTTGGATCCTCTCATGATATTGTTTTACAAACAAATTAAGAAGTTCATTAAATTTATCAAAACAAGAATTATCACATTTATATTTATACCTGTAAATATTCAAAAAAAATTCAAATGGATCATGTTTATATTTTTTCCAGATGCACTATTTTTTTTAATAATGAATCATCACTTTTATCAAGTACATACACAATTTAATAATGAATTTATCATTCAATTAACCTTTATCAACAATATTCAGACTTTTAAACTCAATTTCTACATTATGATCAATGTGAACCACATTATAAAACTACGACAACTTAAAAACGACTCACATTATCAATATAAATATAAAGACCTTTTAAGAAAATCTTCTTAAATGAATTCACTAAATAAAGAATAAGCATATATTTTGAAATCTAGACATTCTTTTAGGTGCTAAATGGATATCATCACCACTTTCATGCTCCGGCTTAAAAGTACTATCACAAAATATATTCATGTCCTTACCAGATAAATAATTATTATAATTAAATTCACTTTGCATACGGAATATAATTTTTTTCTTTTACAGAGAAACATACGTAAAACTAAAAGAAAACACATTTTCAATAATATTTTTTTACGTTATCTTTATAAAAATTCTACACATATATAATAATAATTATAGTATTATTTTTATTACTAATAATCAATGCGATACATACGACTAGTTTGGTAGAATTATTATCTCACCTCAATATAAGATAACACTATAGTTCTATAAATAGACCATGTAATAATTTTATTCTAACCAAATATAAAATAAATTCATCTGAAAAAGTTGATAATAAATAGATATTAGGATTTGGGCCGGCGGATCCCTTTTCCATTTTCCATAAAAACCGTTTGAAGCGATTCCTTTACTTTCTCTCTTTCTACACCAACCCAGAAAAACCAAAACCAAAACCAAAACAATTCTCTATAAAATTCATTGAATTTGCTATTGACTATTCTTCGACCTCTTTCTCTATTGATTTATTTCTAACGACGGGTTAGTCATCTTCTTCGTGTATGATCTCTGGTTTTGAGTTGTCTGATTTTTTTTTTGAATTATTTTTGGGTGTCAATGGTGGGTGGTTAATATGTATCGGCATTGGCGTTGCTGCTTTGAATTTAGTGTTTTGATGGTTTGGTGAATCGTTAGCTGCTTAGGGTTTTCCTTTGTTGGCGTTTTTGGATTTTTGTGGGTGTAAGTGCAAAAGGGACGCTTTTTTTATTTCTGCTTTCACACACGCACATACGACATGTTGAGCTCAATGTAGTTAGAGGTTATTTATTTGTTGTTGGGTTTATCATTTTCTTTTTTGTTTTTTTCTTATGCGGTTTAGTTTTGCAATTTGGTGTTTTTCTTTTTTATCCTAATTTTTGGGGTTATGAACTGTTGAATTGGTTTACTTTATGCAATTATGTGGATTTATATGGCTTGTGATTTTTTTTTAAAAATAAGGTTGACTATAATTTCTTGTAGAAAGAGTTGAGCTTTTTGTTGTTTATCTTCATTTGTTGGTAGATAAGAGAATTTTAGGTTATGCTTAACATGTTGATGCCACTTGCAAGTTGAGAAGATTGGTCTGCAACTTACTATCTTTGATCCGGTGGGCATTAGTGCCTTTGTCAAAAGCTTGTAAAAGCCTATTTGATTACTTTAACTGCTATTTGCACTCACATATTTCTGTTGATATGCTCGTCATGGCTCCCGATTGGACCACTGAAAATTTATTTTAATCTTTGCAATTACCTGATCATTGTAAGATAAAAAACAATTATGTGTCTCAGGGAATGGTTGTATGTGATCTTTCAGGAATAGATATCACTGCTGCTGCTTTTGACTTGATCAGCTTAACCAAGGATTGTTTACAAAAGAAGAATGATAAACTCAAAAAAACTACTATAAGGTTTGATGCTTTGGAAAGTAAATTTCCTGACATTAAGTGTTTTGCCCCTGGGTGGAGGAGGCCTGGATACATCACTAAGTTGACCGTAATCAAGCTACAATACAAGCAAGAAGTGGCAGGAAAAAACAGTTAAGAAAGCATCTATAGATTTCAATTTCCTGCAAATTACAAGAAAGAGAAGAAGCTATTGCAGTAAGCAAGTTCGTTATTCTATTTGGCATTTGCTGTGAAATATGGTGCAAGCTGTTGAACACAATAGCGTGCTCGAGATAGCTCAAAGTGAGCACAAAAAATCAAAAACAACAAAGAAGGGTAAGGGAAAAGGGAGGCAGGGCAAAAATCACACTGGTCAAAACTCGCAGAGATCAAAAGGAAAAAGCTCCATTCCTACCGGCCCTATCTCCTTGAAAGTTAAATTTGGTTCACGTTGCCTGATGGATGTTGTTCCTCTTATTGATGATCACATGGACAAACAGTGTACTACTGGAAAGGAATTCAAAGAATTGCCAAATGTTGCAAGAAATTTTGATGATCGGTTGGAGGCAGGGTTGCCCAGTCTGCAGTTCTCCAGTTGCAACAGAAATTTGGATAATGTGTATGTTTCTGTATCTGAATTATGCCTATCTGGAAAGAACATCAGTCAAGAACCAGTGGACAAACATTTGGACTTTCACCATGAGTCACCTTCTCAGGAGGGAACATCAATTGATAACAGGTGCTCAGATTCTGGAACTTCGCCCGACTCAGAAGTTATCAACCTGGTTCCGGATAATCAAATTATTGAGGGAGAACCAGAAGAGTTGAATGATTTAATCCCGTCTAGGCCATCTGTTGCTCCTGGAGATGTTCTGAGTTTGCGTGTGTATGACAGGAGCAAGAAAGGAAGGAAAAAAGATAGGCTCCCAAAGTTTGCCAGTTCTGGTTCAAAAGATCTGCTTAGTTCAGATAGTATGAGCAATTCCCAAATATTTGGTCCACTTATGCAAGGAGATAAAGTACAAGGAGGGTCTTGTTATGCGGATACTTCTGCTTTAACAATAGGTAGAATCAGCTCAGGCAACATATCTAGCACTGAGATTATTTCAGGGGAACTGTTACCTTGTTCAGGAGTGCCAGAGTTCAATATTTCCTGTGCTGCTTCAAAGCTTGGAAGTGGCATAGAGGGTAATGTTTGTTCTAGCTTTGGCACCGAGTCACCAGAAACTGAGTTTGCTGAAAAAGTGGTATCTTGTCATGATGGACAAAATATTACCAAAAGTGGAAGATCAAATTTATCTGGCAAAGGCAGGTCACAGGTCCCGACTCAGAAGTTATCCAAAAGTAGAGAAAGTGCTTCTAAAAAGAAGGGAAACAAAGAAAAGCAAGATAATAAGCTTGAAGTGAGACATGAGAATAACCAGGTCAAGAGTTTAAGTGAGGTGAAAAACCATCCAGGAACAGGTATGATTAGTTGATGAATAGGCTTCTGCTTCTCCCTTGCCCCAAAAGAAAAATCATGGAAATATTTATTTCTATGAGTTCAATGTTTGACTGACCCTCAAGCACTGTAGTATTAAATGACCATGTCAAATTAATGTCGTAGAAAACGAAGCACCATACGGGTTTGGAGAAGTTGGATCCAGAAATGAAACCTTAAGTGGAGGCATCTCAGACTTGGACATTATGCGGAGTGAGGTGAGTCAGCCTTATTTACAGCCAAGAAATGCTTGGGTGCAGTGTGATGATTGCCAGAAATGGAGGCGTATAGCCTCTGTACTTGCTGATAAAATTGAAGAAACAAACTGCAAATGGTATGTGGTTGCTCATCCTCTAATCATGAATGCGCTTATGTTCTGCTCTTCCAATTAGTTGTCTGCCATTGCTTTTTTGAAGTTTATTCCTGTCAGAATATTTTGGTTTCCCCAGACTTTGTAAACTAAAGAAGCAATTTTTTGTTGCTGAATTGTAATAGCTCACACTTACATCCTGGAATGTGGTGTTGCTTAAGTTAGAGAGCTAATAAATGGATCTTTGACCCCTTCGCTTATTACTAGAAAAAACAAAGAAGCTGAGGAAGTGATTCTTGTAAGTTTGAATCTGTTGGTAGTTTAATCAGCAGATTCTGTTTAGCACAACCAATATGCAGATCTTTGATGCTTATATGCTATGGGTGATTCTGTATGTGAGTGAAAAACTAACTACTTGCTTCCTCTCCTATCTAATCCAATTAGAAAAGATGTCCCTTTTTCAATGAAGAATATGTATCTGACCACTTATCTATTAGGGCAGACTCCTCTTGAACTTTGTAAAAGAAAGAGCTGCACTCTGACTTGGAGATCCTAAGTTTGTATACCAGGTAAAAAAATTTGATATGAACTTATTTGCTCTAGCCTTGATGGGCATTACCCTGGCAACCTGTGCTTGTGATTGGGCAGGCTACCATGGTGGATTGGTTAAGGTGCATGTAAGCTAGCCTGGACACCATTTACAATTAATTAATAATAATAAAAAAATAAAAAAAGGAAAGAGTTATATTCAATAACAAACTTTAGGGACAAACGTTAGTACTTGTCTTTTAAGATATTTAACTCTTATATGCTTGATTATTAGCCTATTGCTTGCAGAAAAAGGTATATAAATTTTAATGCACGTAGATTGTTTCCTGCAAACTGAAGTTGACATATTAACACGAATACATAGTAGATAGGTATTAGGTGTACAAGTTACTGTGTTTTTCTGGAATCTGATGGTTTTTTGCAACTAATCTGTTCTTACTGTAAGTTTCTTATAGTATTTGAAGCTTCAAATGTTTGAGGTTTACTAATGGATCTGCAGACTATTGCGGTTGAGCAAATGTTATGTTGTTTGTTTGTTTCCAAGAGTTTGTTGCTTATTTATCTCATGTAACATTAAAGGACTTGTAAGGATAATTTGGATAGAGACTTGGCTGATTGCTCGATTGCACAAGAAAAATCAAATTCAGAAATTAATGCTGAGCTGGAAATATCAGATGCCTCTGGTGAGGAAGATGTCCTCCGTACACGCTTGAATTCAAATCGATCAGGACAGAAGAAGGCTCCTGGTATTTAGTGATTGTAGTAATGAATAGCGGTGATGTTGACTTTGAGTAGATTGTGCTAATTTGCCTGTCTTCCTTGTGTGCCTGCATTACAGTTTCCCTTCAATCATCTTGGACCCTGATTAAGAGAAATTCATTCCTGCATCGTAGCCGCAAAAGTCAAACTATTGATGAGGTGAATGCTTTATCCAGTTTGCACTGTTGTCTCATACATCTGGATCTATAACTTGAATAAAAATAATTGGAAAATAAAGTCCCATGTTGCAGTGTTCTTAGACATGACTGGTCTTTAAATCTTAAAATTCATCAGGAAAGGGTAAATATAAAGCTTTATTTACCCTATTATTCTCAAAAGATTAACCTATCAATTTTCTCTGTGGGAAGCTTTCCTTAAAAATAAATTTTGTATTCAGTAGAGTTGCGTCATGTGCTTATTTGTGCATCATTGTCACTGCTGGGTTTCCATTTCACAAATAACAAACATTTCCCTTTCTCCAGGTATGGCAAGATATTTTTATGCTGTAATAAAAATAATTGTTGGGATTTATGTTTTTGATAATACATAGTTATGTATATTACTTATTGTTAACTTGCTTGACTCATAATTTCTGTTCGCTTTGGATTCTGGGATTTTCTGGCCTTTGGAGTTGTCTATTCCTTCAGATTAGCTATCAAATGTTTCTTTCTACATTACATAATTCTATCAATCTTGTCTTTTAGCATTGTCAAAGTTTCTTGAAAAATATTTGGTCAAATGTAACTGTAATCCACTTAACCTCTTCTCTACCTAGTCTATTATGTGCTCCTTCACACAATTTCTATTCTGTTTTTCCTTGATGTTGTCTTATGGGCTTTAAGCATTCTTTTGGCTGGTAGAGATATTTTAGGTACATAATTTGAAAGAATATTGTCCATGTGGTATATGGTTCCGTTAAATAATTACCTGGTCTTTAAACGATGGATCCTTGTTATTGTGAGGTTAATTGTTCATATACTCTATATGATGTGTCATGGTTAGTGGGTGCCACAATGTTTACTAGATTGTATTGTCTGTAGACATAACTTGTATGAACTAGTTCACTTTAAGAATATTGCATGTTGACAAGGGAGACAGACACTTCTAGGTGTCCATTCAATTATGTCATCAAAAAGCAAATTTCTCTATCATCAGTACTATCATTAAGTTTAAGGCTAAAATCCAGCATGAAAAATAGATAAGAGCAATAATTAGTTTCTATGAAAAAGCAACTTGATTGATGGTAGGGTTTAGGCTCCCAAAAGAAAAGGACAACGACCCCTGAGTTAGTTTCTTCTTAGCAACACAGTTTTCTGGGTTGGACTTCCATCAAAAAGGTGGTTTATACTCTTCCACCAGTGTTTGTGGTTCCTTTGCATTTTATAAACTATCTAGTAGCACTGAAGCAGGATTGCTGAGCATTGTTTTAGCGAGTTCAAGTTTGTAGAGAAGTTTTGAGGGTTTGAAAAGATTCTTTAGTGATTTCAGCAACACCATGTTGTTTGTTTGCTAAGACAGATGGAAAGTAAGATTTTTCAGTTGTCAATACAGTGTCTAAATACTTGATTGACATTTTATAAGCCTTTCCTGACCCATTTTAACATGAACCAAAAGTATATGGTGCACACCATTGCATAGTTGGTCTTGCTTCTGAGGTTTAACACATGCGTACACCTTACAAGGAATCTGTAGCTTCTAACATCCGTATCTCTGTTTCCTTGCATACAGACAAATCTATGTATATGTTCACTTATTCCTTGAATCAACTTATGATGACAGATGTTCAAAGTGATAAAATCTAATTTTCTTCCTTCTCTGTCTTCTATATATTTCCCTGTGATCCTTCTCTATTAGATCATGGTCTGCCATTGCAAGCCTTCAGAACGCCGAATGGGATGTGGGGAGGGATGCCTGAATCGAATGCTCAACGTTGAGTGTGTTCGAGGGAGTTGTCCATGTGGAGAACGTTGTTCGAATCAGCAGGTACTTGAATTTGCAAGACACTCAGTATATTGTTTATTGCTTCTATTATGCAGATTGTGTGACCCTCCATTTATGTTTGCTTGCAGTTCCAGAAACGCAACTATGCTAAATTGAAGTGCTTTAAATGTGGAAAGAAGGGGTATGGCCTGCAGCTGCTTGAGGATGTCTCCAAAGGGCAGTTTCTTATTGAATATGTTGGGGAGGTGAGTTCACTATTCCACAATATTTAACAGTCTTTTAAGTCTTCTCCCGTGCTTCCTCTAAGCCTCCAAGTCCTTGATGGATTGAAGAATATTCCATAATCCATGATGGCTTTGATACCATCAAATTCTCTTCTCTGCACTTTTATCTTTCAATCTTGGTTTTGCATTTTCTCCCTGTCCAATTCTTTTAACCTATAATACTACTATTTATAACTTGTTTTATCAATCTCTCTAACCTTTTGCCTGTTCGCTTAGTCTATTGTAGATACACAATATTGTCTCGTCATCTTTACAGTATCTTCAATGTCAGTTTACCCTGTTACTTCATCATGCCACGGAAATGTGGAAAGCCTTTCATGTCTTATACCACATCCAAGTACAATGTGGTTCAATTGACTTCTTACCTCACTTGTCCATGATGTGGAGACCATGTTGCTCATACTCCCTCTCACCCAGACAGTGCAATGGAACTCTGTGCCCATTTTATACCGCACCATGGTATTGTTGTAGCGTGCACTCCTATGACTAAGCATCTGGACACATTCATTATTGTGGGCATTCATCATTACTTGCCTTGTTTTATGTTGGAAGTCATCCAACCACACCTTTATCCGGTCTTGGTGGTAGAGATGCAAAGCTAATAGGTTGTGAATTTCATAGGCAGAATTGATTTGTAACATAGTATTAGAAAACGCTAGAATTCAAAGAGTACTCGCCACCTGATCTAGAGTTTGTTTCAAATTCACTTTGTGGCTACCATCCATCTATAATTTGATGGGATAGCAATTTGATAATTTTTTAAATATCTATAAGTTGCTTGCATCTGTATGATTAAGCATAGTTTCCCATTGCTTTTTTGATGTATAACGGGCTGTAAGTGTAACTTTTTCTAGGTGTTGGACTTGCATGCGTATGATGCAAGACAAAAGGAGTATGCCCTGAAGGGTCATAAGCATTTCTATTTCATGACACTTAATGGCAGTGAGGTATTAATGTTTGCCTTGTTTCCTTTTTTTTTTTGGTCAGATGAAGTTGGGAATTACTCATGTATTTTCTTGTCCTTTTGAGTTCGGGTACTACCTGTTGTTTCTTGTATTTTGATTGTCATATTATTTTGTTGTAATTACTGTTCAGAATGATTTGTCATGATTTCGATGGTATATTGCCGTGGCTTCTTTACTTCCGTTATTTCTTTTCCCGTACTGCTTTGTACTGATTTTTCCTTGAGTTGAGGGTCTATCGGAAACAACCTCTCTACCTCCAAGGTAGGAGTAAGGTCTGCAAACACTCTACCCTTGCCACCCCAAACCCCATTTTGTAGGATTACATTGGGTAAGTAGTTGTTGTTGTTATGAATTATCTTGGGTACATATCCTGTTATTCAGTCATTTATATTTTGTGAACTATTCTTTGTATGATTTTATCTTTCTATCACTTTCTAGTGGCTAGTGTAGATTGTAAAGGCCCATAATTGTGGCATCTTAATCTATCTGTTCTCTTCATATGTCAGGTTATAGATGCATGTGCTAAAGGGAATTTGGGACGTTTCATTAACCACAGCTGTGATCCTAATTGCTGCACAGAAAAGGTAATTGTACTTCCTACTTCACTCATTAACACTTGGTCCAAAAATTTGCTTTCATGTTTAATGAATGGCAATTTCTTAATCAATATAATTAACATATGATGCATATTAAATTTTTGGAGTGTAGTCTAGGAGCCCGTTGAAATTAGAAAATTTTGAGAAGCCATCAGAAGATGTAAGGAAAAAAATTACTGCAACATGATCAATCAATGGTGGAGTCTGCAAGTTTGGGATGTGATTTTTAGAAGAGCTCTAAATGATTGGGAAATTGAGAGTTTTTACAGAATGTTGCAGTTACTGGGATCTTTTGGTGGTACATCCGATTGCCATGACAGACTTAGATGGAAAATGAATAACAAAGGGATTTTTATAAAGTAAAATTAGTTTACTAGAACCTGGATTAGAGAGGCCCTACTAAGGTGAATTGGCCTTGGAAACAAGTTTGGAAAGTAAAAATTCCAATGAAGGTGTCTTGTTTTGTTTTATTGGTGATTAGCAAAGCATGCCTAACTGAAGTCAACTTACAAAGAAGAGGTTTTCAGATTTGTTCAAGATGTCTTTTCTGTGACCAGGAGGTTGAGAGGAATGACCACCTCTTTTTACACTGCAAAACAACTATAGGTCTTTGGCGTATGTTCTTTTTGTATTTTGGGGATAAAATGGGTAATACCTAGCTCTACTCTGGGGTTTCTGAGTAGCTGGTGGATTGTAGGGCACAGAGGAGGGGAGGGTGATTGGTGGAAGAGCATCCCTGCTTGCATCTGGTGGAGTGTGTGGAAAGAATGGAATTCCATATTTTTTGAAGGCACTAGCAGTTCTATCCATAAAATTAGGATAACTGTATTAGGCTGTTCTCTTTTTGGTGTAAACGAAGTATGTAGGAAGTAGGTGACTTAGTTAATTTAATTTGCAATGTATAAGAATATAGATTTTTGGACAGTGGTCTTTGTACTTTTTGGTTGTTTTTGTAAAGATCTCAACTAAGCACTTCTTTTATGGTGTCTTCAGTTTTGTTAATAGAAATACTTACCTTCCTCAAAAAAAAAAAAGAAAAGGTTACAGCAAAAGGTGTCTGCTCCTGTGCAAGAACTTACTAAATAACTTAGGTGCAAACATTGTGCAAAAAAAGTTCAACAGTAGTTACAAGGTGCCTGGTTGAACCAACTTTATAAGATGACCAAACAGTTGGACTTAAGAATGTGCTTAGGAGTTGAAATCCCATCAAAACATCTACAATTCCATTCCTTTCCTTCCAGATGCATCAAAAGATAGCAGCAGGTAGTAATCCATGCATAACCCTGTGATTGATTATATCAAATTTTGTGTTTGTAAATTTCATCTTCTTTTTTTCTTTTTTAATATTGGTTTGTTATAATCGAATGAAATACCAATCCCCCCTCTTACTTGATATTTTTGAGTACTGTTGTGACTCAACTTTCTTTCACTTGCTAAACACAGTGGATGGTCAATGGAGAAGTTTGCATTGGACTCTTTGCCCTAAGGGATATCAAGAAGGTAAAGTGTCTCCTTCTGATTGTAATTTGGCTTTCACTGTTGTACATTTGTACGGGATATTTGTTTTTACTTTTTTCATAGTTAGTGAAGTAAAAAATGTATTCTTCTCTCGTCTTAACGGACATTCCAGTTATATGTATGGTCAACAAACACATTAGGAGTAGTTCTGAGATCTCTAACACCTAAGCTGAGGACAGTTGCATTATGATTCTTGTGATAGTTATTGGTTTGTTACAATGAGCATTCCAAATCACTTTTAGCAAGTCCTTTGGTGATATTTGATATGCTTCTAATTTTAGTAGCTTGCCAATGAATATATGCCATACTGCTTGTGAAGAAAATTTACTCTTACAAAAGTATGATTAGCCAAAAAAGACACTGTTATGGTTTAAGATTTTCCATGTAAAGGTAGTTCATGGTTGAATTGTTGGTAGAATCTTGGTCTAGTTTTAGATGGGTCATTTAGTTGTTCTAATCTTTAGGCCTTGAATACAGGGATGTGTTTGGGTTGCATTCCCTCTTACTTTGTTCTTGTGAAAAAGGAATTTTATGCTGAAATATATCAAGATTATGTCAATAGATATCAGTTTCAAACAAAAATGATTATTTTAACTGATAATGAGTTTCAGATAAAAGTAAAAATCATATATCTGAGAGTTTCAGTTTTCTAAGAACTTATCTGCATGGTAGTATATAGACCCCAATTCCAGATTGGATAAGGGGCTTGTCAAAACTCTATTTAGGAATTCTTGAAGAGGTTGTAGTAGGGTACTAGCCATTCTTAGTTGTGCTCGATACATAATTATCAAGAATTATAAGAGTAAAACTCCATTCTAAACTGTGGGCTAACTGGTAAAACTTTAGAATCAAGACTTGAAAGATTTTATAATTCATTTCGAGGTTTATCCTGTTGTTTGTTGTGGATTGCAATAAGTTTCCTCGCCCTTCAATCTGTTATACTATTTATAGGATTCAGATATTCCTATGTAATGAGGTTCCAAGTCTGAATAGGTTCAGTGACAAGAAAATTCAACTATTGGTACTTCTTGGTAACTTCTTGTTGGTGTTTCAAAGTTCAATAAAATGCTTTAATTTTTTTTTATCTTAATTGTAGCAAGTGACATCTATGAATCAAAATAATTATAGCAAGCGGCATCTACTCAATCAAAAAAATTGTAGTAAATGGCATCTACTTATAAAAATATTGTAGCAAATGCATTTGAGCTAGCTACGTTCATTTGCACTGGGATTGTAGCATGATGAAAATAATGATGGTTGAGCTTTTCGTACACAATCTAGTTAAGTTAATTTTAGTACTCCGTCCAATTTTATGCAACACTTTTTTCTTTTTTAGTCCGTCCTAAAAGAATGTCACCTTATTATAGTTAGAAACAGTTTAACTTTAAAATACCCCTTTTACCCTTGATGAAATGATTTTCAACCACACAAATATCTAAAGATTGTTTTAGACCACAAGTCTCAAAAGTTCTCCTTTAATTCTTAAATACCATTCCAAGTCAGACGGTGCCACATAAAATGGGATAGAGCGAGTAGTATTTTGCACTGAAGTTTATGATAGATCATCTGCCTATGGATTTTAATTTTAGTTTTGTTGTCACTTGTTATCTAGGAAGGTCTTCTTCTTCAAATAAATGATGGTTTAGTTTTACTTTGTCAATAAATAAATAAACAATGATGTAGTTTTAACAGTACACTTGTACTAGCTGCTGAATTCTTGAAGAGAAGTTTGAGTACTTTTGACTCGGGAATATACTTTTAAGTATTTTCCTTTCTTCTCCCCCTCTCCCCTGATTCAATAGGATTTACGTGATATATATGCATTTCACTTTGTTTATCATCTAATTTTCTAACCAACATCATTATAGTGCAACAAGTTAAGTGCTTGGGTATGAACCATCACCTGCTACCCTTGAATTTGTTAAATGTGTGAAACCAAATCAAACCTCTCGCTTTTTCTACTCCAGGAATATTCTGTCCTATTCTGCTGTCTTTATCTTTTTCCCCTTTACTTTAGCAGAAGCCTTTTCTCCTTCTCTGCTTTTCATGTTACTGGTGAGAGACGAGTGTGAGTGATAGGAAGAAATAAATAGGTATGCTTCTCATACTGGTTCCTGGAATCCATTTGCTTCTCAAGTTGCTAGCTGTTTTTCCTGACTAGGCTTTTGATTGCATAACCTGTATGGATCAAATCTTGAGTTATCACGAGTTTGCAATCTAAGTAAATGCCTTTTCATTTGTTTCTGTTATTTTCCCAATTAATGTGCTTATTTGCTTGTTCAGGGTGAGGAGGTTACATTTGATTACAATTATGTGCGTGTCTTTGGGGCTGCAGCGAAAAAATGTGTCTGTGGCTCGCCTCGCTGTCTGGGCTATATAGGTGGAGATCTGCAGAATGCCGAAGTGATAGTTCAGGCTGATTCAGATGATGACTATCCTGAACCCGTTGTTCTCTGCGAGGATGGTGACATGGGTGACGAACTAAACAAAATTTTATCTGCAAGAAGTTCATTTGATGTCACAGAAATTAGAACTCCAGGGGAAACACCTAAAAACAAATATAAACTGGATGAACCTTTTACTGGAAACCTGGAGACTACCACCCAAACCCACACACAGAATATAATGAAACAAGAAAATTCCAACATGGACTCTGTTGCTGCTTTTGGCTTGAAGATCAAAGAGGAAAGCAACAAGTGGCACAATGTATCTCCTTCATTATCTCTGAAGAAGAAGGAATCATCTGAGGCAATGGAGGGGCTAGAAAGCCTGTTGCATTCTTCTGTACGACCTGTTGGAAATTCCTTGCAATCGGAAGATATAACTGCTAAAACCATATCTGAAGTCAAAAGAGAGTGCTTAGATGCTGTCAAAATTTCTTCTGCACTGCCATCTCCAAATGCTATGCTTAGCAAGTCTTTGAGGAAGAAATCAGGCAATGGGGAAACCAGTGATGAATCGTTGAAATCTTCTCGTCGATCATCTTCAGTTAAAAAGGGAAAGTCGAAGAATAGTGCTGTGAATATGACATCTGCACCTGATGTGAACAACAAATTGCAAATTCCACAACCTAAATTCAAGAAACCAACACATGATTCCGCAAATGGTCGGTTTGAAGCAGGTATAGCATTATTATCAACCTTTTGGAATCTGTAGATTTGGAAGTATTATTAAAATAAACTCTTTCGCCTGAATCTGCAGTTGAAGAGAAGCTTAATGAGTTGCTGGATCATGATGGTGGAATAAGCAAACGCAGGGTAAGTAGTTCCTAGCTACAGGATGTAGTCTATATTACCTTCTTTTTTTCTGCTTGGTGATCGGGAGTAGTGGCTGCTTTGTTTTTGCATCATGTTGTGTTTCTAGTGCTTAGGTCACTGAATTTGGAAAAAGTAATCATTTTTTTAATGGAATGCACATTTCCTCGGCTTTCTGTCCATCCTTCCACTCCTTCCACTGCCATTTGGTGTGCTTCTTTGCTGTGTATTGATGAAACACCATAGACAAGAAATGTGAAAGGGAGGCCTGGTGGATGCTCATAGAGGGGTGAAAGATGGCTTATGATTTGGCACTTGATATAGGTTTTAGTGATGTCTCCATTTCTAGGTCTTCATTGGTCCTCTTTACAGTGTCGCTTATGCTATGGTTAATGTTCGCTTAATTACTGTTAAATCACTCTACATTTGAATATGTTAACCTTTTCTCTCTGCAGGATGCATCTAGGTGCTACTTGAAGCTCCTCCTTTTAACTGCTGCTTCAGGGGATAACTGCAATGGTGAAGCTATTCAGAGGTAATAGATGGCTTTCGGCTTTCCTATTGGAAACTCTTCAGTTGCCATGCTTTGTTGGTGATACCTTTTGTTCGTTTAATCTATTTTTCATTTTTCTTCTTTATGCAGTAACCGGGATCTTTCAATGATCCTTGATGCGCTTTTGAAGACCAAGTCCCGCACTGTTTTGGTGGATATTATAGACAAGAATGGTAGTCATGTGGTTCTTATTGCACACTTTTCAATACTTCTTCTCCTCCCCCCCCC